CAGAAGACAGAGCACCAAGAACTGAAGATATGCGTACTCAGGAAATGTAGTTCAGTATGTAACAAGCTGGACAAGTAAGACAAACTCTGAATGCCTTTAGAAGCATTATGGGCTTACTCTCATTTACCAGGGTGGTTGGTTGTGCATGGAGGGCTGGACAAAAGAACTCAAGTTGTCACATTTGTCTCTAGCCAATGAAAGGGAATAAATGAATGTGTTCTAAATATTGCACAAACCCACATTTTACTTAACTAACTTAGTATTGTGGGCATTTGCTAGTTTCTTTTTCTTTTTTTTTTTCCAAAGATTTATTCATTTATGCATACAGAGCTGGAATACAAGACAGAGGTGCAGGGACGGTGAGAGGATTCATCAGAGACAGTGGGGAGCAGAACAGGCAGAGCCACGAAGTACATTGCTGAGGGGAGCAGCAGGTGGGTCAGGAGAGGCCTGCCACACCATGTGGATCAGCTCCGGGGCCGGGGGCTGAACTCACACTGAAGCGGCTGAGGCTCACCTGCAGTGCTGCATCTCAACCTGCTGCGCCACCAGGGAGGGCCGCATTTGCTAGTTTATAGCTGTAAGTTTTAAGCAAGTCTATGAATTTCATGTTTTGGGTTTTTGCCAATTTTTCCCCATAAATCCCCACCTATTTGGTTAGGATAAAGTTTTGAAAGAGAATACATAGATAAAAGAGCCTGGATGTTTTTCTAAGTCACATGATCATCAGTACTGTACTTCCCAGATTTATTTAATTGTTCATCTGAGGGTGAGTTCTACAAGTCATCGCAGAGGAAGTTGAAGTAGGTTTAGTTGGGAACTGTTGAAATAATGGAAATTTCAGAATTAGAAAATAGTGAAAGTGAATGGAGAGTAATGAAATGTATAAAGGCAGCTGACAGCAACTCTCCAGCTCACTCCCGAAAAGCACTGGCTCTTGAGAACAGCAAGATGCTCAAGGTATTGTTACATCTTATGTGGCTAATTTCAGTTGCCTTTCTAGCTTACCTCTTTCTTTCTCAATTGCTTCAGTTGTCCCCCCAGTCCTTCTAAAAGCTGCTTGCTTCTACTTCAAAACTAGAATTTCAACAGTCCTCATATCCTCAGCGGTATCTGATTAACTGCATCTTGTTTTTTTATTCATATTTCACCAACAACAGACTTGATTTTGTTGTGTACTGTTAGGAAGAAAATATTTCATATTAAGTCTGTGGAATTTTAACCTCCTAGTATTGGGAATGTCCATTATGGCATTACCAGATAGCATTTTTAATAATCAGCTTTCTCAGTTGTCTGGAGAAGATAAGTTTGTTTAATTTGTTTTTTCAGCAGGAACTGTAACATTTTGGTTTGGTATTCTAGACAGATTAGCAGTGTCAGACTTGTATAAGAACTTATGAAACTGCATTATTTATTTATTAAATGACTAAATATTTTCCTTAGTTTAAGCATTTTATCGATTTTATACTAAAAAGACAAAATACCATGAGAAAGTGAAGAAGACTGAAAAAAGATGTCTTAGAAATAGATGGATCTAAGATTGCAGCCAGCTAAGTGGCTACATGTTCATTTCCTTACGTTCCCTTCCACTGGGGCCTAAAAGAGGCCATTTGTTCTTGTATGTGCTTGAACATACAAGATCTGGACTTTTCAGGGTACCCCACAGAGTCCATCTGCCATGAGTCACTAGCACTATGGGGTCTCTGTTGGTGCCCTGCCAACACATGCCCCCAGGTAGACCCACTTTCCCACAAGTCACCTGCAGGTCAGTTCTAACTCTGAAAATATGGATAATCCATCACCAAATACCTTCAAGTGTGTGATGGTGGGGGTAGGAACAGAGGCAGGTCTGCTTACAACAAAGGACCCAAATGTTGCCCAAAATGCCAGGGTCAAGCTGCCAGTCACTGGCAAAGGCAATGAGTAGAGACAGGAATCTAAAAGGTTCACTTTTTATTGTGAGAAGGCCAGCACTCTGAGAGAATGGCAGTATATTTTCCTACAACCACTGTTCTGACATCTCATCTCAAGCTAGCCTTTTTCTAGTGAATGAAGCAATGACAATTAATCACAAAAGTATAACCCATTACAACAGCCTGTCACAGTGTCCCTAATGTTTGTCATGTGTAGCCGTCAGAGTTCATTGTCACCTCCTTGGTCATCCGAACCCAGGAGTATCCTGGCTTACTGAACCTGGTTAGTTTCTGATGGTGTCCATAACTGACATCTCCTCGAGCATCACTGGGGCAGGAGTCTCAGATCAAACCATGGGTTTTATTCAAAGAAAACAGCTCATTAATCATATGGCATGTGAGTACAGCTCAGCTATGCGTGCACATGCAGATTTCTACACTAAGTGTGGTCCCTTCCCTTTTCACTAGCCCCCATCACAACCAGTATTTAAAAGTCTAAATTTTACTTGGTGAACAAGCCAGTGCTTTTCCTCCTTCTCTCTCTCTACCTCAAATGGGCTTTGCCAAACTTTTAGAAGCATGAAAATGAAAGTGACTGATATTGCCCACCATAGTCACAGATTTCTGTGCCAGTTCCCTGTCTCATCTTCAAGCCATCTTCTCCTCTGTTGCCTCCCACTCTGACTCACCCCATCTTTCTGCTACAGGGAGGGAAAAGTACCCATCCTTTTGAAAAAGGCAGGTTTCGTATTTTCCCTGATTTGGTATTCCTGGAGGCTGATAATATGGGATCAGTTAGTGGCCAGGTTGAAGGACCTTCAGGTGAGCACTGGTGCCAATTGTGTACCTCTACCTGGGCACTGAGTTGAGAGCCTTGGGTATTCTAGATCTTTCAGTCAATAACTAACACCTTACAGTGAACTTTGTAAAATGAGGCATCTGATGCTCAGAGAGACAAAATTGTATGGTGATGCAGTAATCAGAAAAAAGGGAGCCACTGCAACATTGCAACATTACAAAGTGCTAGATGTACAGTGGAATAATACTATATTGCACATTTGCTGACAGATATTCTCTTTTGAAGACCTGTAGGAAACCAAATCATCGTCTAAATATTGAAGAACTTGACAGAAAGAAATTGCAAAGTGTTCTTTGCTTATGAAATGGAAATGATAGTCAAGGTTTTTATTATTCTGCTTAGGGCAGAAGCAGAATGGGTTTTTCCACAAGGCTAGTCACACATACTTCATAATCAACAAGTTCACCAGAAGCCAGTCATCATTGCCCAGAAGCCTGCTCCTCTCTCCTCTTTGGCAAATGGCACTGCCAGCTACCTATCTAGAACTACTGCATCCGTCAGCTACCTATCCAGAACTACTGCATCCGTCTCTTACCTGAGACCTTCTCTAGACAAATGCCTACAGAGATCTGTCCAAAACACTGATCAGCTCGTATCTCCCCCACGCTTAAGGCAGCAGTGAGGCTCAATGTTAGCTTTTAGCTTACATGTAATTTTCACTCTTCAGCCCTAGCCTGAAATCCATTCTCCCTCTCACCTCTGCCCCTACTTGAACTCTGCTGCTGGAGTTGCTCAACTCACTCCCACCTCTCAAATCTCCTGGCCTATGCTGCTCCCTGCAGCTTAGCCTTCATCCCCGCCCCGCTTCTCCACCTGGCTGTCTTGCAGCTCAATTATCAATTCTTCCAGGTAGTCTCCAACAACAGAAAGAACAGATGGTTCTCAACCTCAACCTTACATTTTCTAGTAGCAACATTTTAAAAAGAAGAAACCAAAATTTAGCTTAAAATTAATTTTCATAACACATTTCACTTAACCAATATATCCTAAATATTATCACTTTAGTATATTTTACAATTACTGAAATACTTTATATCTTCTTTTGCCTACTAGCCTTCAAAATCCAGTGTTTTTGTTACTTTCAGGACATACCTCAATTTGAGCTAATCACATTGCAAACATTCAAGAACCACATGTCAAGAGCTGCTACATCAGACATGACAGCACAAGAGCATTTAAGAGCATCCAGAGATCCATGAAAACATGATGTCCTGTGCTGTGCTTTCAGAGGTTCCAGACCTGTGACAGTTATAGTTTTAGAGGTGTCAAGTGTGGATCAGAGTTGCTCACTTATACAAGAACCCCAACTATTTCTCATGCACTGAGACCGTACTTTAGGAAAAGAGGAGCTTAATAACTAGAGGCACCAATTTTGGAACTAGACCCATTGGAATTTGAGCAGATTTCACCACTTAAGAACTGTCACCTCCTTAGATTTCCTTACCTACAAAGTGAGATTTCATATAATACCTTCCTAAAGCATTCAGCACATGGAAGGGATTATGCTCAGTGAATTTAAGTCAGAAGAGAAAGAAAATATTGGATGGTTTCACTTACAGGAGGAATATAAGGGAACCAAACAAGGGATGGGAGAGGGGAAGCTAAACCTAGCAGACAACTATAAGTCAGAGATATTAGCACTGGAGGGGGTAGGGAAGGGTTAAAATCAGGGTGGGAAGAACACAACGGACTATGGTGATGGTTCACAGGTGACTTGGCGTTGGGAATTTTACCAGGACTATACCTGAGAGGAGAAATACATTGCACAAACACGAACTATGATGTCTTATATATGTAGACAACATTCGGCACATTGCATGGATTTCATGATGGGCATGGATTTCATGATGGCAGGGCAGCCACTAGTTGTCTGAATGTACCCATGCCCAGGCAGGCCCACTTCACAGAGGCGCGACCCCAGCCTCCTCCTCCACTGACCCTGTGCTTCCTTTCACAGTAGCCCACACACTCTTTGGTCAGCATCTGTTTGCAACTGGCTAGTGGGCATTTAAATTGGACTTAACTAGATCAACTGAATATCCTCTAATGGAGCAACTCTTTACATCAAAGTACCTAGGGTTCTCGTATAGAAAAGAAGTATAGAACGATAAATGAATGTCACACAGTCCTAACACTTTTTCTTTCAAAGTCTGTCACAGAAAGCTTTGCCAAGGTGATCCATGGCCTGAAAGTAGAACACCTGACTGATTGTGTTCTTCAGAGGAGCAAGAGGATGATTCTGGATGCTCTGGGTGTCGGGATTCTGGGAACGAGTACAGAAGTGTTTCACAAAGTCAGCGAATATAGTAAAGTAAGACACTCAAGGTCTACTTTAAATAGAAAACCAAGTACACGCATCTGTCTGCTTAGTGAAGTCCTTACCCCCGCCCCGCCCACCCGAGACGTGTGTTCATGTTCTACTACTCTACCTTTCTCTTTAGTGACAGTACTTGGTTTATTTAGTATTCCTTATATTGGTTTTTGCTTTATTGTTTGTATTTTAATATTCATCCATATCCTTTAATAAGTCACTGCATTTAAGCCAGTCTCAAGACTAATGTTAAGAGTAGTAATATTTCACAGTTTATTATTATTATGACTGAAAGCACATCTTTACCTGAGAGTCTTAGAGGTAGCAGTATCTACTTCTACCAAATAATCTTTAATATTCTCTGGAGAAAATGCTAGATCGGTGCTCTGAGTAGAAGGTGGGTGTGGACATGGGAGAAGAAGTGATCAGTGTTGACAGCTAGACTTCCTTCCCCAGGATTTACCCTCAAGGAGTAAATGAGAGTAAATTCAGAGTCCATTCCCCAGGGCACCTCTGGATCATGATATGGGATTTAGTAACATTTCTTCCATGGAGAAAGTTGTGTATTCACCTGTAAGGAAGAGAGAAATCCAATGATTTGGGCTTCAATCTAGAGGTGTTGCCTCCACAGATGAAGGCCATTTCTTGGAATGTTGTGTCTGCACCCTGTATCACTGACTGATGCTCTTGTTTCAGATCTACAGTTCCAAGATATCCAGCACTGTTTGGGGCCAGTCAGACTTCAGGCTTCCGCCAACATATGCTGCTTTTGTTAACGGTGTGGCTGTAAGGAGATTTTCAAGTCTTTTCAACTGTTAGACAATCATAACCATTTCAGAGCCAGGAAATATCTCAGAAATCACAAATCTCCAAATTTTACTGCTGAGATTATTGATATTTAGAGAGATGAAGGGGTCTGCCCTCTCTTCTAGGTAGTAATTTTAGTTTCCTTGTTTTTACAGTGAACTGGTCTTTTTAAAGAAATTGTGGAGTAGAGGAAATAAGATGGGGGTGTCTCAACTCTAAACTGGGGAATGTATATAAAGAAAAATATTAAACCCAATATCCAAACTAAATTCCTTTTCAAGTCCTTTGCGGTGCACAGTGCCAGTTTCATTCATTTTTTTTATTCATTCAGTAGACACAACATATACTGAAAGCCAATTCAGTGTCTATTGTTTCCCAAACTAAAAACCAACACTTCTCATCTGAGGAACAATTCTTATACTTTATATTTGTAGATTGTTGGGCAATCTATAAGAGTAATTTGGACAGGAATGTTTTGGGATGTCTGTGGTCTGTAGGGACAACAACTTGAATATTTAAAGCTGAATCCCATAATACATAGAGAAGTAGATGTCCAGAAAGCCATGGGAAATGAACCAGCCATATCAAACAAAAAAAAAATCTATTTTTAAATGAACTTCTGCTTATTACTAGTTATTTAACATAAAGGAAGAGAAAATGGCTAGCATGAAGAGGAATGAAACCCTATAACAGAAAACTATGATTTCAAAATATAGCTTGTCAGGGCTCAAGAGTTTCTGCAAACTTCCCATAAATTTTATATTATTTCATAATAAAAAGTTACAAAAGTTGGCCCTCCCTGGTGGCGCAGCGGGTTAAAGCACAGCACTAAGAAGCTTAAGCCACTTCCCCATGAGTTTGATCCCTGCCTCCCTGGAGATGACCACAAGGTATGGCAGACCTCTCCTGACCCGCCCGCTGCTCCCCTCAGCAGTGTACTTCGTAGATCTGCCTGTTCTGCTCCCCAGTCTGTTCCTGGTGAATCCTCTCACCTTCCGCATCTCTGGCCTGTACCCCAGTTCTGTATAAATAAATAAATGTTAAAAAAAAAGTACAAAAGTATGATATGGAGGGTGAGGAAGAGCAGTCACCCAATTCCACACCTTTTTTTTTAAGCGGTTATTGATTTTTTTTTAAAGATTTATTTATTCATGCGTACAGGACTGGGGTACACGCCAGAAGCGCAGGGGCAGTGAGAGGATTCACCAGAGACAGTGGGGAGCAGAACAGGCAGATCATTGAAGTACACTGCTGAGGGGAGCAGCGGGCGGGTCAGGAGAGGTCTGCCACGCCATGTGGTCACCTCTGGGGCTGGTGGGGATCGAACTCATGCGGAAGTGGCTTTAGCTTCCTAGTGCTGTGCTTTAACCCGCTGCACCACCAGGGAGGGTCCCGCGGATACTGATTTTTGAGATGCTGTGGCAGACAGCACTGGAGGGGGGTAGGACCCAAGCTCCTTTTTGAGGCTCATTGGCTGCTCCCCAAGGTTCTACCTCCTGAGGGCAAAGGGGAGCCCGGTCATGTGATTAAGAATCTGACAGTTGATGGCTTTTATTTCAGGGGATCAGATCTAAAGATTTTCCTGGGTTATTACTAATATAAACTCTTACCAGTTTAATATCCATCGCATTCAAGGAAAAACATGTTGATTTTGGGTTGGTTGTGTGTCCACAGATTCACTCAATGGATTTTGATGACACATGGCACCCTGCCACCCACCCTTCTGGCGCTGTCCTTCCTGTCCTCATGGCTTTATCAGAAGACCTGCTTCCAAGTCCAAAGTTTTCTGGCTTTGACCTTCTGCTGGCTTTCAATGTTGGTGTTGAAGTACAAGGCCGATTAATGCATTTCTCCAAGGAAGCCAATAACATACCAAAGAGGTATGAAGAGGATTTTCCTCAGTAAGAAGCATCTAATTCCCTTCATCTGTCAACTGTGATCTTTGCAGAGCTTTTTGGTGGAGAAAGTGGCTTAGTTAAAGATAGTCACATTAGTGCTAGAAGATAAGTTAATTCACTAGTCACAAATCAAACCTTATAACTCATCTACAGTGGTGTGAATTCAGAAGTGTTGATGAAAAATTTCCTTTGGGTTTGAAGAGCCTGTCAAGCAAATAGGACCATAAAATAAATGGGGTCACTCTTCTAAAGGTGACTCATCCTTGCACTTCCGTGGGCCCACTCAGAATGTCCATGACCACATCTCAAAGTAGAATCCATTTTCAAATTTGATATGGTCCCTCAGCCTAAGGAAAGTGTTTAGAAACTCCCAAACCTGACCATTCAAATAACAGATCAAAAATGGTCAAATGGTGGCTGTATCATGCCGCTCAGTCTAATATTTGCTTTATCACTTGGTCCAGCCTACTAGGAGAGGACTAAATTGGAATACTGAATGAATATTACAATCTGCAAGGCCTTAATTTTTACAGTGAGTAATCTGGGCTCTGAGCAATCAACAACTTTTGCTTTTCTTGCAGTAATTATTTAGAATATCATCTATAAGGAATTTACTGTATGTCAGGCACTGTTTAAAGCAAGTGAATTTATTCAAAAGTAATGAGATCCTATGAGGTAAATACTATCATTGTCACCCTTTAATGTAAGAGAAAAGAGGAACAGAAGAGTTGAATAACTTTTCCAGATCATACAGTTAATGAGTAGAAGAGGTGACATGTAATCATTTGGCTTCATAATCTACAGTCCTGATTACTACATTTCACTGACTGCTGGTGTCGAGGTTTATAACTCTGACTCTTTGCTTTTTTGCTTTTCAGATTTCATCCCCCTTCCATAGTAGGAACTCTGGGAAGTGCTGCCGCTGCATCTAAGTTTTTAGGACTCAGTAGGACAAAGTGCCAAGAAGCCCTTGCTATTGCTGTTTCTCTTGCCGGGGCACCCATGGCAAATGCGGCCACTCAGACCAAGCCTCTTCATATGGGCAACGCTGCCAGGCATGGCTTAGAAGCTGCTTTTCTGGCAATGCTGGGTCTCCAAGGAAACGGACGGGTCTTAGACATGAAGACAGGGCTTGGGGCCTTCTATGCCAACTATTCCCCTAAAGTTCTTCCAAATCTTGATTCCCACACCTGGCTGCTGGACCAGCAGGACGTGGCCTTCAAGCGGTTCCCTGCACATTTGACCACCCACTGGGTGGCAGATGCAGCTGCATCTATGAGGAAGCACCTTGTATCAGACAGAGCCCTGCTTCCCATTGACCACATTGAGAGAATTGTGCTCAGAATTCCAGATGTCCCTTATATCAACCGGCCCTTGCCTGACTCAGAGCATGAAGCCCGTCACTCCCTTCAGTATGTGGCCTGTGCTGCCCTGCTCGATGGTGGCATCACTGTCCCATCATTTCACGAATGTCAGATCAACAGGCCACAAGTGAAAGAGCTACTCAATAAGGTGGAGCTGCAGCACCCTCAAGACAACTTGCCAAGCTTCGACACTCTGTATTGTGAGATAAGTGTCACCCTCAATGATGGGGTCACCTTCACTGAGCGTTCTGACACCTTCTACGGTCACTGGAGGAAGCCACTGAGTCAGAAGGACCTAAAGGAGAAGTTCAGAGCCAACACCTCTGGGCTACTGTCCCCAGACACAGTAGAAAGACTCATTGAGATGGTAGAAAACCTGGAAGACCTAGAAGACTGTTCTGTGTTAAATAGATTTCTGAAAGGGCGCTCTCCGCCAGAGGTAGTTACACAGCCTATCCCGCAGTTAACAGTTACATCATACAACCCCTAAGGCTTACCAATGCCTAAATGACTTTAGACTGGGGGAAATACAACGATTTGCTTTATACAGCGGGGGTTTGCTCTTGATGTGCCCAGAAGGTAGAGAGGGTCCTGACACAGAACTGGAAGGAGTCTTGACCTTTAAATTTTGCTGGGCAGTATCAATTATTTACAGTAAGATAACAGATATGCAAAACACAGGAGATATGGATTTTACAAACATTATAAGGCTGACCTGCAAACTGAGGAGTCAGACCTTAACAGGAAACAGGAAAACAGGGAAGGGACTTGGGACCTCAGGAGACGTGCAAGAGGAAACATTTATTAATAGAAATTGAAGCACTGTGTTGAAAAATTTCAGTTTGCTCTATGGGGAGATAAGTCTCAAGCAACCAATCAAGAATCTGCATGACCCCACTGCTGCTCTCCTAGACCCCAAACATGAGCACTGCTAGAAAACACCTGGCTGATTCACCCAGTGGCAACTCTTTTGGGGACCCTTCCCATGCAGGTGCTGTTCTGTTTCTTCATCTGTCCTAATCTCAGGCCTGCTTGCTGCTGGCAGGAGCTGGCCTGTTTCTTTAAATAAACTTCTTTTGACTTGCTTGCAGTGTGTGTGTGTGTGATGTTTCATGCTCCATAAGCAGTTCCTGGCCCATCACTTGCCTTACAAAGCTGCCTGTGATTTTCCTGTAAGTTGATCTTTGCATAGGAGTTATTTACGAGCTCCATGAATCTGGAACGCAGGAGCTTGAACCTGCGTATCCATTTGCTGACAGTGTAGAAGGGCTCTGACCTGTGCTGCAGCAGCTTCTGTAGGCCATCGGCTACCAGAGGTCTCCACAGTAGAGGTGATGCTATTGTTAAAATATAAGAGCCCAGAAGTTTCAACCCCTGCCTCTGCACTTAGTAGGTATGACTCTGGACATGCGACTCTGATCCTCTGCCTCACCGCCTCTATCTGTAAAGTAGAAATTAAAAAGTCTAAAAGACAAGGTTATTTCAGTCTCTAGGTTGTGTTCTTGACATTACACTATATCCCCATTCATTACAAAAAAAACAAACCTTTTTGGTAAAAAGATTATGAAGAACGTGAGATATAGTAAAGCATGAGAGTGAAAAAAGTACTATGAATGTTGGTTGTATATAATAATAATATCTTTGGGGTAAAAATTCCAGCATGAGCAATAAATGAAGCAGCAGGAATTTATTAATGTTGTCAACTTTTTGTGTGTGGTTTGAGAAGAGGGCAAAGTTATTAACTCTGGACTTTGAATCATAGCTATGCCTGTTGAAATTCCTAAGGTAGCCAATATAAGATAGCAGGAGAAAATATTGTTTCCAAGTAATTGAAGAAGGATGAATATGGAATTAGGGAGGGGAACTCATCTAATAAATTCAAGAAAGAAAGAGGGAAAAGCAGGACAGACAGAAAGCTCAATATAAAATGATAGGGAAAAATCCATATAAATTGGCACACCTTTAGCCCTGTATGCCTAACACATACAAAAATAGAGAAGGAAAGAAAAGGAAAGACTGGTTCCCATATTCCTTTGTTTTTCTTTTTAAGGTTTATTTATGCATAGAAGAACTGGGATACAGGCCAGAGGTGCGGGGGGTGGGTGAGAGGATTCACCAGAGGACAGAATGGGGAGGAGAACAGGTGGATCTACTGAAATACACTGCTGAGGGGAACAAGGGGAAGACAGGAGATGCCTTCTGTGCTTTGTGGGTCACCTCCCTGGCTGGGGATCGACTGCTGCTGCAGTGGCTGCAGATAGCTTCATAGTGCTGTGCTTTAACCCACTGCAGCACCAGAGAAGACCTCCATATTCCTTTCTAGATGGTTCCTTTCTGTAAATGTCAATGGGCCCTTTCTTTTGACAGAATGGGCAAGTTAAATATGAGCCCATTATTTCTCCTTTCTTGAGATAGGAGCACAAGGACAACTTGTCAGCGACCCAACCCCAGAGTGGGGGCTTCAACAGCTCTGAGGACTTGGCATTCTGATAAATGCTTGCTTTTCTGTTTTCATTTTCTTGTGAATAGCAACAGGATGCTATTTGGCTGACCTGGAGGAAACTCACCCAGAGCCTGGGGTAGATTCTCCAGGCCACTCCTGCTCCTTCTCTGTACTTCTGTGTCCTCAGCACACACCCAGGACCCACGCCAGACTACCTCAATCACCAGACACAGCTTTGCCAGCTCTGAAGAGCCCTACTGCTGGTTATTATATATGTCTTGGGGATCCCCAAAACTGAACACACACCTTAAGGGATTCACTAGAGGAAACCATGGGACAGGACACAGTTACACTCGTGGCTAAGGGTCAACAAGAGTAAAAGACACAGGTGGAGTCTGGAGGAATCTGTGCAGAGGCTTTCAGAGCGCACTCCCTCGAGTGGGGAGATGTGGGTACTCCTTCCGACACCATGAAAAATTCAGGGAAGTGTTTATTATAATTTTTAGTTTGAGAAAAGACTTAGCATCCAAGGTTTTTACCAATTTCTGATAATGGAGGAGCCATTCACCCAGCAACAATTATAATTCCAACCTCAAATAAAGAAACCAAGCGTCCCACATGAACTGCGTCGCTTGCCCCTAGGAGAGTGAGCCCACTCCCCTTTAGGGAGTGGGTCAAGCAACAATTCCCAGAAGTCACCCAGAGACAACTTCATGTTTGAGCCGTAATAAAGACAGAAGCCTCCAGCCTACTTATGTGAACACTTTTTTCATACTTTTTCACATCTGGAAATGCCTTTCTTTCCTGTTTGTGTGGCTTTCTAGGGTGGAGAAATGTTAGAGAAACTGGACTTTGCCATCACTTTGGGATTTGTCACTGTTCCTTAACACTTGAGCACCACAAGTTATGTGTTTTATCATAGCATTAGCTAAAACGAACATTCCAGGTAGGTTGAACACTCCTCTCACAGAACAAAGTGCTGTAAATGATTTAAACCCAGGCTCTTAAAATAAAAATATGAAAGCTTAAATTTATTTAATAAATTCTATTTTATAGTAACTTCATTTGGAGACCTTTATCCACACAAGAAATCACAGCAGAAAAAGACCTTATGATATCTTGGACTACTTTAAGGCTGGTGATAGCTCAAGTATAAGGGAACTCGTTAGTGATGGTGGGTAAATGGCAGGTTGTCCATCCAATTCAACAAGTGTGTACTGAAGGCTTACTATGCACCAGAGTACAATCTTGGGGTAAGTGACAGAACACTGAATAGAACAGGCAAAAACCCCTTACAAAGGTGAGCTTACAGTCCACCGCGAGCAGGGAGACAAGCAAAGTAAAGAGGGAGAGAAAATGGCCTGCCCCATCCTGGGCCAGCTGCTCTCCCTTCACTCCTCCCTGACGGGAGTGTGAGCTTGTGGAGGGTGAGCTGGATTCCAGGACGAGGAGCGTCCAATGCCTGTGAGCCTGCCTTCAGTAGAATTAGTAGGTTTTATTTCTTCCTGAGCCCCAAGATAACCTATGACAACAAAAGGCTGTGGCAACATAGAACAGTAGCTGCCTTCTAAATTCCAACAGGACTTCCCCACAGAATAAAGCTAGGGGGAACCGAAAGGGCAAAGAACAAGGTACTATTCCTTCCAGCAGAGGTGTGCACGGGTGTGCAGGTACAAACGTGTGGGGTTTCCTCCCACCACTGTGAAGTCTGCCTGCAACACTTCAGTTTATTGTCACTTATTAGGAAAATTGCTCCATTCTTTCCATTCTTTCTATCACCTAATCTGCATTTTAAAATAATGGCGAATGGATAGTTCACAGAAAGTAACACCTGAGGTGGAGCAGTGTTTGAAAGACATCTATGTCGTTCTCACTAAGCCCTGACTGCCCAGCAGTTGACAGCTCCAGAGCACACCAAAAGAATGCATGGCATATAGAAACTTTTTTTTTTTAAGTGGCATGGCTTATCTGAACCCTAAAATACAATACCCTCACAGAAATAATGAAGATTACTTTAGTCATCTAGTTCAACTGTAAATGAAAAAAAAATCAACATTGAAATAATCATCTCACTTCTAAAAGTCTCCCAGCTTTCAGTTGTAATTATGAAAAACAAGTCAACCCACAGTTACTGTTGGTACAGAGATAGGAATCAACCTAGAGGCTCTGGAAAAATCTTTAGAATAGACCAGGGCCCATCTCCAGAAAACACGACATGGCAGAGTTGCTTAGGCTTTCAAAAAAGGAAAAAAATAAATGACGGTGTGCTTTTCCAGAAACCATGCATATACCTGAATAGTTTATTTAACCTTTGAGTTAAGACAACCATGGATGTACCTTTTACTAGGCAATAAAGTATGTAATTCATTTGATTGGAACTAAAGTATTGTTGCATGAATAATTTCTTCTAAATAGGGTAATTAAAGCACCACTTTCCAATACCTTATAAACCCCCACCACCACCATTTTCCCTGTTCCATGAAAACTCCATGTTGGTGGGATCCTGGCAGATTCCCTCACCAACTTGCAGGCATGTTTCCAGGGTTCAGCACAGCTGAGATGATCAGCACTAACAAGCCAATCAAAAGAAAAGATCTAACCAAGTGGGAGAAAATGTGTCTCAGGCACCTGACAGCGTGACTGTGAAGAGAGTTAAAATTATCAGCTGGCACTGGCCTCTCCAACACTGTGATGCTTAGAACAAAAGCTCACAGGCACTGTGCACATAAGAAATCTGTTCCAACTTAAGGTTTCATTTAAATATTCAGTTAGTAAGCAGCTATCTGCTAGGATCAATAGAGAATAATTAAAGCAAACACAGTTTGAGCCATACAGTTGAATGGCCTCACCTAAGACAATTGCTACACTGAAATTTTTTCTTCCACAGGCAGCCAATGTATTTTGAAAGAGTACATCTTCCCTATGATTCAAAACCATCTGTTCTTATCACCTTAAACCACCATCCCTTACCATCTCTACCACCAGCCCTGTGCCTATCACCAAATATGAAACTCTGTAATGAAAGATTATTAAGCTATCAAAAAGCAGCCATGTTTATATTCATCTGGAGGAAGGAAACAGGAACGCTTACCCAGCAGTAAGCTGTTCAGCCTTTTCTCGCCTTCCATCCACATAGTCATGCTATCCCACTGTGACTTCGCAGGCAGGAAGGGTCAGTTGCCATCACAAGAGGCAGCACCAGCTGATGGGCTTCTCTGCACAGTGGAAGGCTGAAGGGTCATTACAGAAGTGTCAGCAATGCAGTTCTCAGCCACCCCAAAACCACCTGCAAAGACAGGCAAGCCAGGATTACTTAAGGCAGCTGACAAGAAGAATCTAAAAACAATGAATTCTTAAGTAAAGAATTAGTGTGCATAAGAGCAATAACATGATTAGAATGTAAAAATAGCATTTGTATGGATCTTCTGGAGTTGACACTTTTTTTTTTTAATTCCTCAACTTTGTTTTTAAAAGTCAGTATAGCAAACTATATTTGGCAAAGTGGCTCAGGGATTTTTTTTTTTTTGAACCAAATACTGAAACACATGCCAAGCAAATCATGAGATTTTATGTAACTTCAGCATAACCATTAGAAGAGGTGGACTTTACAGACACAAA